AACATACAGAACATCATCCACAAACATATGTACATTACATTCATAACAGGTCCATTCTTTACATACATACAGAACATGCATCTCTTACAAACATACGTACATTACATTCATAGGATAGGTCCATTCTTTACATACATTACATACATACAGAACATGCATCTCTTACAAACATGCATACAATTCATTCATAACATAGGTCCATTCTTTACAAACATTACATACATACAGAACATGCATCTCTTACAAACATGTGTACTTTACATTCATAACATAGGTCCATTCTTTACACACATGTACACATTCATGCATTATGTACATGACATTCTTTACATCATATTCACCACATTAGGAACATTTCACTTTATACATTTATTGCATGCATACATATATAACATACATCCATTCTTTACATACATAACATCCATTCTTTACATACATAACATACATACAGAACATGTATGTCTTACAAACATATGTACATTACATTCATAACATAGGTCCATTCTTTACATACATGCATACATTTATGCATTATGTACCAGGGATGGGGTAATTGAAAAAAGTAATTGTAATTGACTGTAATTAATTACATTTTTTGAAGTAATTGCAAGTAATTTGTAATTGAACATTTTTTCAATTACATGTAATTGTAATTTAATTAATTACACTGAATAAATACAATGTAATTTCAATTACTTTTTCAATTACATTCAATTACTTTATATTATACACATTTACACGTATTCAAATGATATATTGTCACCATTACCTCCCCATTTTACTGTGCTTTTTTATTGCAAAACATATCCTCAATCCTTCAATTTTAGAGATTGAAGTTAATCTAGGTTCTTTCTATTTATTATATAAAATTAATTTTTGTTTTCATGTTAATCTGAATTTTGCATCACCCTTCTTAGGTCTATTCAGCTATGAAACGCACATTTATTATATTTCAATCTCAAGTTTGTTGCTTGATCAATGCAGAATATGTGTGTCAAGAAAAAAGAAAAGAAATTTGTGTCATTGATTAAATTCTCTCTTGTTTGTAAGAGATAATTGTCCTCCAGATCACAGGTGTTAGTTGCAATCAAAACAAATCAACTTAAACTCAAATTAAAAAATGTGTGAAAAACGGGAATTTGACCAGGTGAGATAAATACTTAATTGCGATAGTCTATACCATACTTAGTATGTGGAAGGTAAATTTATAGTATAAAGTAAGAGAATGAATACGAAGTTATTTTTATTCCTCTTTCTTATATCTTGAATTCATTTAGAACTTTATCAAAACATCACACTTATCAAGACTGAAAATTATTTATTTTTTAAGAAATTGGACTTACATAATAAATAATATTAAATAAATATTAATATTGTAGTCAATAAAATCAATTTTTTTCCATGAATATATATAGAATTTTAATAAAATGTTTATAAAATTGTATCAAAACCCTTAAGAATACATAAAGCTAAATCAGGTATTCACAGGTAAATCCAGGTAAATCCAAACCGGAAGTTATCAAAACACACTTCACACCTATTGTTCTATACCTAATTACAAATGTGTGCAAAACGGGAACACACCCTCTAAAGGGGTTTTCATTCCCTGATTGATAAGACAAATCCAATGCCTGGGGGATAATTATTTCAATTTAAAATGATTTGCTAGTTTGAGAAAAGAAACACTTTCAATTTGATGTATCTGAAAAAGTTTTGTTGTACAAATATTATTTTGAAGTAAAAATGTTCTGCAAAAATAGCAATATAAGGAGTTTTGGTTAACTTCAAAGAAATATTTAATTTGAGGGTTACAGTTGTGACATATTATACTCTATTGAAATATCCCCTGTTTAATCAAATATCATATCACATGCAGTTTGTGTACATGTAGGGTTTGTGTGGAGGAAACTGCATCAAATTGATCTCAAGTAGTTCTTTACTGTTTTGTTAATAAAAGTTAAAGTTTAAACCACAGATATACACAATGGCTTTACCATATTATTTCTTGTATTTTTGTGCAGAGGCCCGCTTATATACAATGATGATTCCTGTTCTGTATATTCATTGACAAGGATTATAAGATTTTCCAAAAAATTGAAATGTACCCGCACCTCAGATCTCCTCATTTTTTCCATATTCAAAATAAGGAGAAAATGCGGACGGGAGTATTTGGACTAATTTTCCGCATTCATTCCAGATTTTCTCCATATTCAAATTTCCAGATTTTCTCCGTATTCAAAATATGGAGAAAATGTGGATGGGAGTATTTGGACTCTTTTTCCGTATTCTCTCCAGATTTCCGCTTTTCCATATATACAAAATATGGAGGTATTTACTTGGTTGATAAAATGCGGAAATACGGAAATCTGGAGAAAATACGGAGTTAATCACATGGTTATAAAATGGCTATAATAAAACCGCTACATGATGCATACATACATAAATATTTACAAAACCATCAACAATGTGCAAAATTATATACAATTTATTAAATCATTATGAGAAAAAAACATATAAATGAATGAACAAAATTACACATTATGTTCATGAGCAATGTATTGGATCTTATATCTTTGACAAACAAATAGGAGCATGTATGGAAAAAAACTGGAACTCTCTTATTTAAGTCACAAGTTCATCATGGAAAAAATGTGGCATTTTTTAATATTCATATTAAATAAATGGAAATTTATTCAATCTATTTAAGCAAAAGTGGGAGTGAAATGTTCAACACTATTAGATATTGGGGAAAAAAAACAATTGACATAGCATTGAATATTTACAAAACAAGAAATTTTTTTTAGACATTTTTTATCAATCTGGATCACATTTGCCATTTTCTACCTGCATCGTGATCCCTGATTCATATTTCTCACAATTCAGTTTATATCTCAAGTCTGTGCTTTACACCCATCTGTCCAATAGGCAATAAAAATTTTCTTCAGACTTCTTTGTAATTTGTAAGGTCACTGCATGTTTAATTTCTTGCAGCAGCACTTGCGGTCGAATTGGCAAATCCTATCAGTTAAAAAAAAAGTACTTAAATTATAATGGTGCAATATTAATAAAATTTAAATTCATTGCTTTTATTCCTTTTATAATCTTTTTATAAACAGAAGTTTGGGTTCTTCAATTTTATATCAATTTGTTTAAAATAATATTTATAATAATGACAATCATAGTTGACTGTTTTTAATTAAACAAGCAATAAAAAAGAAGAAAAAAAGAATATATATACCTCAAACATAACCATCCATGGACCAAGCTTTAAGCCTGTTAAAATAGCAGTAAGTTGAATAACCACTTTCAGAAATCTCCTCCTCATGCACAGACGCTACCAAAAAAAAAAGTAATTTGGTAAATCATTGCTAGAGATTACAGCCCATGGCTCCCCAAAATTAACACCTTTAATTGTGGTTAACCATAATAAAATTCTATGAGCTGATTGAAAGATTTGAATCATGGGCATATTGGCTGAAACGTACGTTAAGCCTGGTAGCTCAGTTTTCTAAGGCCTAGACTATATATTTTCATCATCACAGTGACACCATGTTAAAAAAATAAGACTGACCTACCGCATATGAAATATGTGTATCTGTATCTTTTGGTTGATACAGCAATACGATCTCAGGCTGTCTGGTCAACAAACTCCCTCCTTTAGACAGAGCAGACGTTGCAACATGGAAGCCAAGGTTAAATTTTGGCGGTCTGTTGTTTAAATTAATTGATCACTGAGCCCGACTTTTTGAAACATTCTTCCGATCCCGATCAAATTGTACATAACATTCAGGAGAAACAGAGAACTGCTGTTAACTCCAAGACATTTTTTATGCACCCAAATTTTTTAGGGGCGCATTTTGTTTTTGTCCTGTCTGTCTGTTTAGCTGTATGTCTGTCTGTTTGTCTGTCTGTTGTCAACATTAACCTTCACCATAACTTACGAACCTGTAAGAGTTAGAGACTTCATATTTGGTATGGATACTCCACTACAAAAACACTTTCAACTGACACCAAGGTCAATGACCTTGTGACCTTGATTGTGACCTTTATGCTAAAAATAGCTTTTTCGAACTTTCGCCATAACTTCTGAACCGCGAGAGATAGAGACTTCATATTTGATATGCATACTCCACTAATTAGGCACTTTCAACTGACATCAAGGTCAATGACCTTGTGACCATGACTGTGACCTTTATGCTAAAAATAGCTTTTTGGAACTTTCACCATAACTTATGAAACGTGAGAGATACAGACTTCATATTTGGTATGCATACTCCACTAATTAGGCACTTTTAACTGACACCAAGGTCAGTGACCTTGACTGTGACCTATATGCTAAAAATAGCTTTTTCGAACCTTCGCCATAACTTTTGAACCGTGAGAGATAGAGACTTCATATTTGGTATGCATACTCCACTAATTAGGCACCTTCAACTGACACCAAGGTCAATGACCTTGTGACCTTGACTGTGACCTATGTGCTAAATATAGCTTTTTTTTCGAATTTTCGCCATAACTTCGCAAAGATGATAGAGACTTGACATATTTGGTATGCATATACTACACTAATAAAGTGCTTTCAAATGACACCAAGAACAATGATTGTGTGACCTTGACTGAGACCCATTTGCTAAAAATTGCTTTTTAGAACTTAATGTTGCCACCGAGTGCTACTGTGTATAACAAACACATATTTTTCTTGATTAAAAAATTCTAAGTCAAGAGCTCCGTATTTTTTCCAGATGAAAAATATTCTAAGTTAAGAGTTCAATATTTTTCCAGATGAAAAATAGACTAAGTCCAATTCTCCGTATTATTTCCGTTTATTTTCCGGATTATTTCCATAGATTTTCTGCTTTTCCGTATTGTTAATTCTCTCCGTATCTTTTTTCTCTCCACATTTTTTCCATATTAAAATGAGGAAAAAATACGGAATAATGCGGAAATCTGTAGATCTAGGTGCGGGGTCTGTAATTTAATTAATTACTTTTGTAAAGTAATTGTAATTTGTACATGACATTCCTTACATCATGTTCAACACATTAGGAACATTTCACTTTATACATTTATTGCATGCATACAAACAATTACATACATTTTGTATACATTCAATTACATACATTTCATACAGATATTACCTATTTATATATACATTACATACATACATACATACATTCCTAGATACACACATACATACATACATACACACCCTCTCATAAATACATGGATTCATACATGCATACATACATCCATCTATAACATGCATATATTGGTCTATGAACATTGCATTTATTTAGCACATACTCTGCATTGATTTCACACATACATGATTTGCACTTCATACATACATTGCATACATTATTATTCATTTCTTGCATTCCTGCCTCTCCCTCCTTATTCAGTGATGTGCATGATGAATATTATTTTTGTACTATGTATCAATTTTTTTTGTGGTTGATTTTCTACAAAGGCATTTTTATGTATTATAAATTCTTTAATCCTTTGGATTTTTTGTAAAGTTATTTTTTTAATTCATCTGTTTAATTTATTTTTGCCATGGAGAGATAATTCAGGAGATTAAAATTTGATTGGTATTCCGTTTCTTTACGTATAAGGTTAATCTATTTTTTTTTCAGTTTCATCTCAATTTAATTGTGCTTTTCTAAGTTTATAGTTTTCTATCTCATCTGCACACCACGTCTGTCATGCAGTCTCGCCTCAGTCCAGCTAGAGTCGGAAGTAAGTGATTTCTCCGTCACTTCAGTATTATATATTTACATGATTGGTGGTGGGTTTTTTCTTTCTATTCAGCTCACCTCAACTCTCTTAAAGAGCTTTCATTATACTTGTAGCATTTTCCGTTATATTTAGCTGTTGATGTTCGATAACCTACCTTTACATGAGATCTCGGGGTCTTAGGTCTCATCCGGAAGCGCGTCGATTTTCACTTTTGATGCCGGGTGCTTTGTGAATGTACAGTCACTTAACCTTTGTTTACACCTTACATTTGACGCGGCGCAGCGAACGAGAATCGAACCTCCGATCACGAAGTGACTGTCTTCCTGTATGATCCGTCTACTGTGTTTCATTTCACTCTGACTGTATGTGCCTTTCTTAACGTTTAATGGGTTGAGGTGAGCAAGGTAATCTTTGATTACCTAGTATGTCTATTTTTATGCCCCGCCATGAATATGGCTGGGGCATATAGTGTTTGTCATGTCCGTCTTCCGTCCTTATGTTCTTCGGATGGACACTACCAGACTTGCTTCGGATGCTGACATTTTCAAGACGAGGGATCAGGTAAAAGTTTAAGGAACAGGTCCATTTCTAAGGAACTATAAGCCCTACTTGGACCAAACTTGCATGGATGATGCATCTAGGGATGTACACTACCAGACTTGCTTCGGATGCTGGATCTGACCTACATTTTCCAGATGAGTGACCAGGTTAAAGTTTTTAGAGCAAGTCCATTCGTAATGAACTAAAAGCCCTACTAGGACCAAACTTGCATGGATGATGCATCTAGGGATGGACACTACCAGACTTGCTTCGGGTGCTGGATCTGACCCATATTTTCATTTCCAAGTAACTATAAGCCCTACCTAAACCAAACTTACATGGATGATGCATCTAGGGATGGACACTACCAGACTTGCTTCAGATGCTGGATCTGACCTATATTTTCATTTCCAAGTAACTATAAGCCCTACCTGAACCAATCTTATATGGATGATGCATATAGGGATGGACACTACCAGATTTGCTTCGGATGCTGGATCTGACCTATATTTTTATTCCCAAGTAACTATAAGCCCTACCTTAACCAAAATTGCATGGATGATGCATCTAGGGATGGACACCACCAAACTTGCTTGGGATGCTGAATCTGACCTATATTTTCATTCCTTAGTAACTATAAGCCCTACCTGAACCAAACTTGCATAGGTGATGCATCTTTGGATGGACACTACCAGACTTGCTTCAGATGCTGGATCTGACCTATATCTTCATTTCCAAGTAACTATAAGTCCTACCTGAACTAAACTTGCATTGATGATGCATCTAGGGATGGACACTACCTGACTTGCTTCAGATGCTTGATCTGACCTATATTTTCCCAACAAGCAATTCAGCTGCATCACTCTTCTGGATATTCTGATCAAATTTTAAACACATATAAATTTTCATGTTGCTTTACTGATATATCCTTGGCGGGGCATTCATGTCCTATGGACATATTTCTAGTCTTATATTAAAAAATGCATAAAAAACAAAAAAAAAAATATAAAAATACAAAAAAAAACAAAAAAAAATATAAAAATACAAAAAAAACAAAAAAAAAAATAAATAAAAATACAAAAAAAAAAAAAATATATAAAAAATTCAGCTGCATTAAAAAACAAAAAAATAATATAAAAAGAGATAATCCGAACATTCATGTCTGGTAACTATTGACATATTTCTAATATAATGCTACAAAAAAAAACAAAAAAAAAATATAAAAAACAAAAAAAAAAAAAAAAAAAAAACAAAAAAAAAAAAAAAAATTAAAGACAAATCAGGAGCAGAGAAGACATACTTCTAAAACATCAGAGGTGGGATAAGAGTTGGGATCAGAATCCATGGAGGAGTAAGCATCCCCTGTTGGCTGGTAACACCAGCTGTGTGCCGCATATTTGACATGGATTATATCCGTTTGATGGAGATGTACAATAAGTTATCACAACTGTCAAGGAGGACTGATTAGAAGGGTGTAAAGCTCTCATGAACTGCTACAGAAGGAGGAATGATTAGAAAGGTGTAAAGCTCTCATGAACTGCTACAGAAGGAGGACTGATTAGAAGGGTGTAAAGCTCTCATGAACTGCTACAGAAGGAGGGCTGATTAGAAGGGTGTAAAGCTCTCATGAACTGCTACAGAAGGAGGACTGATTAGAAGGGTGTAAAGCTCTCATGAACTGCTACAGAAGGAGGGCTGATTAGAAGGGTGTAAAGCTCTCATGAACTGCTACAGAAGGAGGACTGATTAGAAGGGTGTAAAGCTCTCATGAACTGCTACAGAAGGAGGGCTGATTAGAAGGGTGTAAAGCTCTCATGAACTGCTACAGAAGGAGGGCTGATTAGAAGGGTGTAAAGCTCTCATGAACTGCTACAGAAGGAGGACTGATTAGAAGGGTGTAAAGCTCTCATGAACTGCTACAGAAGGAGGGCTGATTAGAGGGGTGTAAAGCTCTCATGAACTGCTACAGAAGGAGGACAGATTAGAAGGGTGTAAAGCTCTCATGAACTGCTACAGAAGGAGGGCTGATTAGAAGGGTGTAAAGCTCTCATGAACTGCTACAGAAGGAGGACTGATTAGAAGGGTGTAAAGCTCTCATGAACTGCTACAGAAGGAGGACTGATTAGAAGGGTGTAAAGCTCTCATGAACTGCTACAGAAGGAGGACTGATTAGAAGGGTGTAAAGCTCTCATGAACTGCTACAGAAGGAAGACTGATTAGAAGGGTGTAAAGCTCTAATGAACTGCTACAGATAGAGGGCTGATTGGACAGCAGAGGTATTAGTGTTTGTCGTCATCAAGAGGGTTAAAAAAGAGGATAAGAATTAGTTATTGACATAATTTAGAGGAATATGGAAGGTGATAAGAATAAGTCATTGAAGTTATTAAGAAGGTTACTGAAAAGGACAACAATTAGTCATTGAGGTAATTAAGAGGGAGAAAGAAGAGAATAAAAATAGTGATTGAGGTAATTAATCGTCAGTGACATAATTAAGAGGTTTTAGAAAGAGGATAAAATTAAGTCAAGAACATAATTAAGAGAGTGAAGGAATAGGATGAGAATTAGTCATTGAGGTAATTAAGAAGGTTAACTGAAGAGGATGAGAATGTTATTGACCTATTATTTTAAGTGACATATGGATGAGGATGAAAAATAGTCATTA